GGGGAACTCCGTGGAATTCGTCATTTTGGGGGGGCTCTGAGCCGTGTCTGGGGCTGTTTTGGCAAAATCGGCAAAATACCGGGTATTTTGCGGGTATACCTGGAAAACCCCGGTATACCTGGAAAATACCTGGGTATCGTGCCGATTTCCTCAATTTTGCCCCAGATTTTGCCCCAGACCAGCTCTCAGACTCAGGGAAACTCGCGAGTTTCCCGAGGGAAACTCGAGAGAAACAGAATGGAGCACCAAACACCCTCTGGTTTCCCTGGAAACTTCCGGAAACGCAAAGTGCTGGGGACCCTCTTGGAGTCGGGTGCCGCCTGCGCTACTTTGCTGATCGGGGTGATCGCCGTCCCCGTCTGCGCTCGCGCTACTCTGAGGAACCATCTGGCCTGCTCCCTATTCCCCGGGCAGGCGCCGCTAAGCAAGTGCGCCATTGTCGCTCTAGGCGGGTTCTCATCTTCCTCGGTCCATTGCTGCGCGGCTTTCCGCACGATCGGGCACAGCGGGTCCCGCTTTAGTGCCGCCCTCCTCGCCGCGTCCCTCGCGGCCTTACATACGAGGCAGCCCCTGAGTTCGCTCCTCGTGGCGGCGCCCGGGGTCTCTCTCCCCGCCTCTCCCCGCATGATCCTCTCGTGGTGCGCTCCGTGTGGCACCCCCGCCTGCTGCCGCACCCGCGCTCCCATGACGGTCTTTGTCACCACGTTGTGATCATCCACGTCGGCGAATTGTATCTCACGCTCGCCGTGCTGATCCTTGATCCGCTGACGCTTGTCCCATTTGTGTCTCGTCGTTCCCCTGACCACATCGCTCCACAGCGGCCCAGGCACCCCCGCCGTGTGTGATCCCGCCGTGAGCCCCTCGCCGAGCCGTCCTCGCACCCACTCGTTCGTGTGGCCGCGTGTGGCGTAATAGGTCCTCCGGTCCAGTACGTCTCCCCTCCACTCTCCGCCTGCCGTCCTCCGGCGGTCCGTGTATAGGCACGGGCGTGTCCTCACTGCTCCTCGGATGACGGAGGTGGCATCCTCAATCTCGCTGGCCCCCATGTATGCAGTCGCCGCGGCGTCGGCGTAGGCGTTGCTAGCGCACCCCGCGTGGCTCGGTACCCACAGGAACGTGACAGATTCGAGCTGGGCGCGATATCTGCATATCCCCTCTAATGCCCCTCCTCGATCCCACTCCCTGAGCCCCTCGAGAGAGCCTTTTCGGTACGCCGCCTCGATTTGCTGTAGCGCGGGCTTGCAGTCGCTCAAGACGAGGCACCTCCTGTCCGCCGCATCTTCCGCCGTCGCCATCTTACGCAGGTAAGCCAGCACCGCGTACATTTCCGCGTCTATCACCTGCCAGTCGTCTGGCAGTCTGCCGCCCCACAGCCCCTGCCCAAACGCGAGCCGCAGCTCATCGTCCCCGCTCTCGAGCTGTCCAGATCCCTCGACGGGTCTCCCGAATCGGGCCGGCCCTTCGTACACCCCATACGACACTACCGGTCGCGGTACGAACCTATCCCCCACCCACTTATTCGGCGTGTCTCTCCCTCCATCCGTCGCAGCGAGGTGCGTGAATGGCCGCGCTCTGTGCAGCGCGAGGCATATCCTGGCCACCTCCGCGTTGAGCTCACGGCCCTTCCCTGAGCCGAGCGGCCCTTTATCCTTGCCCATCATGACCTGCGTCCCGTTTCTGTCGGGCAGCGCCCGTGTCCCGACCTCAAACTCGTCCCACCGCAGTAGAAAGCGCGTAAGCGGATCCTCCTGGAGTTCGGCGTCTCTTACCCACGCGCCGTGCCTCGGGGGCGAGCCCTCCATCTCTCCTAGCCCCGGCACTACCCCTCCCACCTCCTCGCGTGTCGCCAGTTGAGGTCTCGCTACTCCGCTCGGGGGCGGGGCTCTTGCTCTTTCAGCTCGCACGGCTGCCGGTATCCGAGCGCCTCCTCACTCGCCCTCGCCATCTCTTCCGCCACGTCGCCGGCGTCACTCCCTCCCTTGACCGCTACGACTATGCCGTCGTGCTGCAGCGACAGCACTGCGTGGCCGCTGCGCGTGGCCCAACGCACCTTCGCCCTTCGGCTGATACTCTCCGCCTCCTGAAAGGCGAAAGATTTGACTGTGCGTTCCGGGTGCCCCTTCCCTGGCTTGTGGTGCGCAAGCCAATCCGTGACAAAGCGGGTCATTCCCGTCCTCTCCCCCAGGCTATTACTCAGCCAGAGCGTGCCCTCTGCTTGCGCCTGCAGGTACGCCCCGAAGTCAAAGGAGCCTCCGCCCTCTAGTGCTACCCTTGTCCGCTTCAGTTTGTCCTTGTCCAACCCCCACCTCTCTGCCCACGTCGCCACATAGCCACATTCCCGTCCATGTCGATCGCTTGGGATGTCTGTTTTATTTATGTATTTATCCTCCCATCCCTCCCTTGGGCTGTATGTTTTCTTTCTTTTTCGGCCCGCTGGGTGCGCTTCTTAGCTCCTCGGCCCTGGATGTGAGGTTACCGACTGCACTCCAAGTGCTCCAAGTGCATAAAGACTCGATAAGACGCGCTCTCCCTCAACCCTCCGCCTCTCTCTCGCCGTCGGCACCGTCGCCTCCCCTCCTCGCGACGCCGGAGCGGCGGAGCGGGAGGCCCATCTCGACGCCGGCGGCCTCCGGCAAAAGCTGCCAGTGCACGCCGTCGCTCGAGTGCAGCAGGCCGATCGCGGACTGGTGCGTCTGCGTCTCCGCCTCGCCCATCAGTGCCATCCACCAGCAGTCGCCCTCGGCCCAGACGAAGGGAGCGCCGTACCGGCCCGCCGTCCAGCGCGCCTCGCCCACCGAGAGGGCGCCCCGCCGCTGCCACGAGATCAGGTCGTCCTTCGAGACCGCGTGCGCGAGGTGCTGCGACTTGAGCCCCTCGCTGTAGATCAT